GTCCTCCACAACTAGACTGAAGAACAAAACGACAGCAACTTGTCTGTTCCCCTTCCCCTAATTCCCCAGTACTGTTCCCATCCCCCCAATTACCCAATTAAAAAAAACAAACAAACAAACAAAGAGTGTCTCATTCAATCGTCCTAGGAACCTATGTAGGCATTGTTAATCCCATTTTACAGATGAGGAAACTGAGGCAGAGAGCGGTCAAGTAGCTTGCCAAAGGACTGGAGAGGAGGTAAGAGGGGAATAAGTATGCTTCCTGATTTTTCTGCCTCCAACTCCTTTGAATGTCCTACTTTAAATGTCCTCAGGACCAAGAGGAATGACAGCTGCTCTAACTCTACCCTTCATGACTGCTCCTTCACCCTCTCCAACCCTGACAAACCCAAGGAAGAAACGGGAGCAGTCAGAATTCATCAGCTTTTCCAGCCCTTTAGGACAGGTCTCTGAAGCTAATTTGTTTTTTAACTTTAAAGTCTTAGGAAAACTTAAAAGTCCTGTATGCTGACTGCATCGCTTCCTAAGGAATCTTTGAGTGTCTTTTCATTTTCTGAGCACATCATTTTGTTCATATCTCTCTTTCAGCAATTGTTGTTCTTCGTCACAATTATCTACCCATCTTTTTTGCATCAGACAAGGAGTGCCAAGAGTCCATGTATCCTCATGTTCGCGTTTCCTACGCCCAGGACAGGACCTGGCCTATAGCAGGTAATCCTAAGTGTTTGTAGAATGATTCATTATTCCAATGTCTTCTACAGCGCTCTTTACTGTTAGTCTAAAGCTTAAGGGAAACTCACACTCAGGTATTTTATCTAAATATCCATAAGAGCAATAGAAACAAGTAAAAACTACATAAAGGCCTACTCCACCAACATTGAATTCTCAGTTGTTTATATAAAGTGAGTACCAAAAACATGAGCTTAATTTTTAAATTAACTTTTTACTAAGATATAATTAATATACAATACCATAAAATTCACATTTTTAAAGCACACACTCAGTGGTTTCTAGTATATTCACAAGGTTGTACAACCATTATAACTCTCTAAATCCAGAACATTTTTATCTCCCAGAAACAAATCCACACCCACTAGCAGGCACTTCCATTTGCCCCTCCCCCAGCCCCTGGGAACCACTAGCCTACTTTCTATCTTAATGGATTTCTGGACATCTCATATAAATGAAATCATACAATATGTGATCTTTTGTGTCTGGCTTCTTTCCCTTAGCATAAAAGATTAAAGGTTCATCCATGTTGTAGCATATATCAGTGCCGCATTTTTTTATGGCTGAATAATATTTCATTATCTTGATATATCACATTTCATTTATGCATTCATCGGTTGGACTATTTCACCTTTTTGGCTGGTATGAATAATGCTGCAATAAACATCTGCATACAAGTTCTTGCTAAACATAGGTTTTTATTTCTCTTGTGTATATAAATGGAACTGCTGGGTCATATGGTCACTCTATTTAACTTTATAACTGATTTTTTAAATATTTTTATTATTTAATGTTTAAAAATAAATGATACTGTACTTCTCATAACGAAGCACCTGATCATCAAAAAGAACAAATGTACTAAATTTTGGAATATATTTTTCTCCTGATTCTCATTAAGAATTTGTAGTTTATAATTTCCATTTCCCATCATAAGTGGAGGGTTGGATCCAGAGATATCTGTACGAGAACTCTAAAGGGAAACAGGATAGGGGTAATAGTTTGCCACAGAAAATCTCCATCTTTATTAGATGATATTAATAAAGATCATTGAAAACTGGCTACAATTCTTGCCTCACTCATTCTGGTCTCCAGTTTCTACAGATTACTTTCTTGGTTGGAATCTAGTAACTCCCCATGACAATACCAATCCACAGAAAAAAAAGTACACAGAATGGTTATCTGGCAAAGAATGAGTGGTTCCTCTGTGTTGCTTACCTGTAAAGTCTAAGCTTCACTGTGTCTTCATCAAGAATTGGGCAACCGTTGTGAATATACTGTACCTCATTAGGAAGGAAATGGCAGTCGAAGACCTAGTTCACATAAAGAAATGGATAAATATCTGTGAGAAAATTGGTACAAGAGTTAATTTTTCCAGCAGTAGAGTACTTCCTGAGGAAATTATGGTCTGTTAACTTTTTGTTTCCTGTGTTTGTGTGTTTGTGTGTATGTGTGTGTGTGTGTGTGTTAATCACCACCTTCTTTACCCAACTCCATACCCACTCACCATCTTCCATATACAATTATATCTTGGTTTGAGAATTTCTAAATTATGAAAATCAGAGCAAGCAGATCAAGCAGATAAGTTAAAGAGGGGTTCTCTCTCTAAATAATCTTTTTACAGTTTATCTACATTTAAAATATAGTTCCCTTTATCAAAATATCATTTACCCATACCCTTCTGGGCTTTATAACAATTGAGTAAGAAAGGTCTGCCTGTGTGTATGCACAAAAAGGCATGCATTACAAACATGCAAACTCACTCTATGGTTCTGTATATGAATATACATTTTTCTTCTCCTTTTATTTCTTTCTTTTCCAAATAGTGTTTTTATATTCAAAGATGCAGCCACTGACTGTGGACTTTATTGTGGTTCATCAGAGCCAAACATGACCCTCAGGTGGTTCTCATATACTTGTGGGAGACTGCTTTTCTTATGTATGTAATAACAGAAATGTTTGATAAGACAAATAGCAATTTAAAGGCAATTTTCTCTATTCAAATAAAATTATAATTAACTGTCACCTCACTCAGAACTATTAAGGAAATTATTAACTGTTTTATTTTGGGAACTGTAGTTTTTAAAAAGAATTGCCTTGGGCCAGCCAAGTGGCATGCTGGTTAAGAGTTGGCTTGGGACGCCAGCTTTGAGCAGCAGGGCCCCAGTTCGGATCCCACATGTGGGCCAGTGACACTGCGCCCTCTACAGCTAAGATAGTGAACAACAGCTCCAGCTGGAGCTGGGATGCCATGATTTGCTGGGGATGGCTTAGGCTTCAGTAGGGCTGGCCAGCAGCTGGCGTGCGCTTTTGTGAGCTGCCATGAGCCACCGTGAGCGGCCGTGAGCAGCCATCCAATAGCTGGAGAGTGACTGCCTCACCCGAGAAGAGCACAATGATAATACCAACATGGGCCAGTGAAGCAACATCCTCCACAACTAGACTGAAGAACAAAAAGGACAGCAACTTGTCTGTTCCCCTCCCCCAATTCCCCAATTAAAAAAAAAAAAAAGAAAGAAATTGCCTCTTCCACCTACACTATGAGCCCTATTTTGTCCATTCTGACATGGTAGAGTTCTAAGATATACAGCTGGTCTTCAAATAGTGTCATTTCATTCAATTTCATTTTGTTATAACATTGATGAGGGGCAATAGGAACTTAATTCTTGTTTTATCAATTAGCTTCTGGTAAAATTGGTTTAGTTATATATCATTTTGCTTAAAGTGGCAGAAGCTATCAATGACATAAAGTGAGAACTTACTATACCCTTGAGGTAATCACACATCATCACTGTTGAGCTCACGGTGTTTAGCCTGTACCTTCTTACAGCTTCAAACATTTATAGACAATATAATCCTCTCTGAGAAGACTTTATCACTTATACAAATGATCCTCTTTTCCTGCAGACATTATTCGTTCCTCTTAATTTACAAGGAAGGAAATAAAAGAAAGACCTTTCCCATATCATTGACAAATAGTCATGGTAATAAAGAGACAATCTGCTTTGTTAAAAGAAACATCTGTTTTATGTTTCATAATATGTTTTCCTTTTATAAAAGGCAACAACCATAATTGTCCATAAATTTACTAACTAAAACAAAGGAGAGCTAAATCCTTTTCTAATTACTGTCTAGCTTTGTTTTTTTCCACTTCAACTGCTTTTCAATTACAATTTATAATTAAATTGTCACACATTCCTAACACATTACTCACTATAATGACAGTACACGGGTTCAAACTCGAGATCTTTTCTTACTGCTGTATTTCCTATTCAAAAGAGCAAGCTCAGCGCTAAACAGGGGTGCTTTTCCAACCAAGAAATTTTTTGCATTAGGACAAGTGTTAGAAGTGCTGGGTGTAAGGGAGTTTTGACCTAAAACATGAGGAAAACATAACTCCATCAACCTTATCTAATTGACTATATCAGGAGGGTTGTCTAAACAGAAGGTACTGGTATGCGCCAATTGAAATCCCTTTCCAAACATCCAATAGGAAAATGAACCTGTTGGTCCTAAGACAAACTCTAGTAATGAAATGAAAACACTAATTGAACAGATGTTAAACAAAACATTTTCCGTGCAAATCAAATAAAACTGTTCATTACACAGCAGGGTGCTGTTAATACAGTCATCTTGCTAGAAATGGGTTCGCACAAGCCTTGTTTTTAACTTAGTAGTAAGTGCTATTAAAGAATAATGTTTAGCTGTGTGTGTGTGTGTGTGTGTGTGTGTGTGTGTGTGTGTGTGTGCGCGCGCGCGCGCAAGCAAGCACTTCCTATGTTTAATTTCAAAAACTCCATAAGAAATAAATCCCTTGGGAGGGCTGAATCAGCCTGAATTAAAAGAAGAACACATTTCAAAAAAGCAGACTTTACTTGGGATTCTCATTTTTGTTGAAAGTATCATTTAAAAAAAAAAAAAGGAAGATCACGTGGTAGTTTAAGAAACAACATTTTTGGATATATCAATTTCTTTATGGCACAAAGTCCTAATATTTTACCAAAAGGTGATGAAATTCCACATTTTAGTGGGTTCCTTTTCCACAGGATAAATTTTAGAAGATGTAAATTACATATCTACTTTAGATAATATAAGTTTGTTTGAGATGTCAAACTTACCCTTGGGAATACATACACTGAACATTCAGGACTTGATTTTTTGTTGTTGTTGTCGTTGTTGTTTTTTAATGACTAACAGCTCACTAGGGGACCTACTGGGGGATATTCAGAGCCCATCTCCCTTCCCTAGCAGTCCAGACTTCCTAAATCAGCAAGGCATGTTTTTGTTTCTGTTCCATATGTGGACTTTTCTATGTGGACTTTTGCCTTAAAATCAGAGTAAGTTTGAGATGGAAATAACTTGGAGATCTATCACAACCCTTGATCCTTGTGACCAAATACATTTTTTACCTAGTTTTTAGTTACTTAGACCTCTTTTTGGTCTCCAGTGCCTCAGAGCCAGCCAAATGATAAGAACCATTAAAACATCACTGAGAATATACAATGGAGACAATTTCATTACTCTCAGGAAAAAAAAAAAAACAACAACGCTATACACATTTAGAAGTCATAAGAGTATTGAAGATGGGAAGAGGATACCCCTTAGAGGCTGGCTTAAGTAACAGTACATCCTCCAAAACTGCTTCCCAAGGAGGGAAAATCTGGTGAATAAGTGGCTTTTGTTTTGCTCAGTAGGTACACATGCTTGGGACCAGAGTTAAATACAGATGACCATAGGTTGCCCCAGCATACTACCAGGAGGAATTTTTCTTCTCTTCTTCCCCCACAAAATATTAAGCATCACTGTTAAATAAATGTTGAATATATATATATATATATATATATATATATATATATATATATATATATATATATGAAGGGGCACAAAATTATTAGTTGATCAGTCTTTATAAGGCAGCCACATATATCCATACAGCCCTGGGTCCTTGCTTTAACAGGGACCCCAGTCCTCTGGGATTAGGGTCCTATCTTGCTGCTCCCCAACTCCAAGGGTTTGCTTTTGACCCCAGTCCCTGTAATTGTGTCTCTGTTGCCTGTACCTGAGCTTATTCATGTCACCTACTCATCCACGGTCTCCCTTTTCTCCTTGACTGATAGATGCCAATGAAACACTTTTCAGAGTGCAAGCTGTGTTGGGAGAAAGTGGGGAGATGTTGAAATTACCACACACTTGTGACCTGGGGTTATTATTGTATACTAACATTTTTTAGATGCCCATCTTGAGCATAGAATATGCTTAAGTGACAAGGTCTCCTAGGTTTCCATTAAAGGAAACCATTTTTATGCAGACATTTTTGAAGAACAGTGAATATTTAACGTGAAGTATCTCCACATCTCTTTTCCATCTCACTTCCCTTACTCCAGGGAATGTTTGGGTGATTTTAATAGATGAAAATGTCTTCCTGTTTTACTTTTGCTATTCTACAGTCACAAATGTGTCCTAAAAATGTCTTAAAATCTTGATTTCTTATCCAAAGGTGCCCTGACTAGCAATGGGTGAGATGACTGGGGGTAAGAGTCACCCATAAAGACTGGCCATATCACACCACACAAGAGACTGCCCACTCCAACCCTGGAAAGCATCTCTGTTTTGTTTTCTCTTTCTCTCTCTCTCTCTCTCTCTCTCTCTCTCTCTCTCTCTCTCTCTCTCACACACACACACACACACACACACACACACACACACACTCGCATTCATTCACACATTATAGGAAATCTCAGCTATGACCTACCTGTGGAGTGAGTTTCCCAACCCTCTGGGTCATTGGCTCATTCATCACCACTTCCACTTTGCAAGCATCTTTCTCTTTGGGAATGGCGAACTTCAGGTCCTCTCCCAACAAGAAGGCGGAGCTGCCCTTCATCACCCTGACCCCGCGGTTCACACTGATGAAGGTGGGGCTGGCCCAGTCCAGGAGCAGCAGCAGGAGTATGGCTTTCAGCCCACCCCAACCCAGAGAGCTCATGCTGACAGGGGCCAACTCCTTTCCGTCCACCGGTGAAATCCCTTCAACAAAGGAGAGCTTCTGTGCTTCTTCCGGGGGTGTCAGCTCATAGTCCAAGGGGCAGGGCAAAGGGTCCTGACAATGTGCCCCAAGATCTTAACATGCCTCTCTCATTGCAAACTCAGACAAGGAGGCCTTTCAGGCAATCTCAGGGCTTTTAATAAAACTCGCTGATCACTCCTGACAACGCTGGCAAGATTAATGTGCCTCCCAAGTGCTTTTCTAATCCTGCAAATGGGAGAAGGGGTTGGAGGAAAAAACGAGAGAGAGACCAAAAGGTTTGTGTGGCTATTCAAAAAATCCCGACCGACAAAGGAATCTTTCAACCAGCCTATAATTTCAGCTAAATTAAAAACAAATAAACTAACTTGACCTCCAGGCCCATCTGAAAGGCAGTGCAGTCATTTCATTACACCACTTGTGACTCCTGCTTCCGGACTCAACATGCCCCAACGGGGATGTCAGTTGTGTGGTCCAACAGATGCCAGACAGCCTCACTGCCCAAGCCTCACGGCAGCATTTGTTTCTGTGCTCCGAGGAATTACTGAACTCTTCGCTTCTGTTTCCTTACTTGTTAAACGAGGATGATATGAGAGCTAATGGCATTATTTGCACACTGTTTAAAAACACAACTCATTCTACCCAAATAAGAAATAGGCTTCATAATTTGTCACATGGGCACCATTCTGACTTCGCTGGGCAATAAAGACACCTAAGACATACCTGAGTGGAAACTGGATAAAAATATTTTTTCCTCTATATGAACATTAGGGTTTTCACGTGTAAAAGGGACTAAATTGAATAATATAGCTCCAAAATACACAGCTAATGACACAGTGAATATGTGTGCATATTTACATTACTTACAATGCTAATTATATTATAATGGACTGAATTTGCATGAATTGGGTCTGTTTCTATTTTACCCACTTAAAATTTCAAGATTATTTCTGTGTTCTATGAGAACAGAAATGATTTTATCAAAAGTAAAATATATTAAAATACTCACATATTCTTAAAATCAGGGTATGATTAAGTGAACCAATGGTAGTTTATTATGCCCATAGAAAGGCTTTACATTTTAATGATTTTAATACATTTCTGTATACATATAACCAATAGACCCTGAAATAAATGTTTGACAGAAGGGTGTAGACATAAATGCCTCTATTATCTACATCTAGTACATTAAAGCAAGACACATTCTCTTGTCACTGTTCAAACCCTTTCACTTTTGAGGTAGTGCACGACATGTGTCACCTGACACCTGAGGGCATGTATGCTGTACAGAGCAGTCTGGTTTGTTTGTTTTATGGTGTCAGTCCCAAAATAAAACAGTTCACACACTCCGACTGACCATGTTGTCCATACTCAGGCTGAAATTGGTTGGCTTATTTGGGCAAGAATGCAAATCTGGTTGTTGAACTTTCACAACAAAATCAAACCTTGTTTCCATTCACATTTGGCATCTCAGACCACTCAAAAAAACCCTAGCACATTCAGAGAGAAGTTACAGGATAGGTAGGCGTCTCCCGAAACTGAGAAATAAGGGGGAAAACTTTGCTTTCCGAGATTTAAACAAATTAAGTCAACATGTAAAGGCTGCATGAACTCTATACTCTTATGCATTCCTCTTATCTCACTCTTATCTCACTTCTGTAACTGCTGCTTCCTAAATTCTCTGACTTTTTAATATGGGGGAACCTCGGTCCAGTCCTTGGACCTGTTTTTCTGCCCTCACTCCCTAGTGATCTCATTACTTGGCTATCCATACCACTTATATGTTAATGAGTCCCAAACTTATATCTCTCACCTCCTCCCTTAACTTTAGATTTGTCTATGCAGCTGTCCATTAGACATCTCTGAGTGGGTGTGTAACAGGCATCTCATACTTTGTGTCGCCTAATTTGGGCTCTTGGTCTTCCCTCCCTGAGTCTTCCCCATCTAGGTCAATGGCAACTCAAGCTTTCAGTTGTTCTCTTTTGTCTCACACTCTACATCTCAACAAACAAAAAATCCTCTTTGTTCTTTGTGGTGGACAAACTTAGGGTGACTTCTGGTAATTCCAGCCTCCTCGTATCCAGAAGTTCCCTCTCCTGGAGTGACAGCAGAACTTACGACACTTCCAAACAAAAAAATAAGGGAAAGGTGATAGGATGTCATTCCCAAGGACTGAATTTGCACAAATGTCTTCTCTGTTTCTACTTTAACTATGTAAAATGTCAAGACTACTTACTTCCCTGTGTTCTACAAGAACAGAAATGATTCTATTCAAAATAAAATGTATTTAAACATTTTCTTAAATTCAGGGTATGATTAAGCAAATCAATGGTGATTTATTATGCCCATAGAAAGGCTTTACATTTTAATGACTTTAATATATTCCTGTATACAACCAATGGATACTGAAATAAAGACACACATAAACACATATATTCTCTATCTCTCTCTCTCTCTCTCAGCAGGCTGGAGCTAGAGGTTCTCCTGCTGAACTTGAAAAAGGAAACCCCCAAGAGTTCTACTGTCACAAGGAAATAAATTCTGCCAACAACCTGAATCAGCTTGGGAGAAGATTCTTCCTAAATCAAGCCTCCAGAGAAGAGTGGAGCTGAGTTGACGCCTTGATTGCAGTCTGGTGACAACCTGAAGCAGAGAACCCAGGTAAGTCATGACTGGACTCTTGACCAATGGAAACTATGAGGTAATAAATTTGTGTTGCCATAAGCCCCTGGGTTTGTAGTAATTTGTTTACACAGCAATTTAATTGGATGCACTCTTCCTACACAACATATCCAAAATCCATCTACTTCTCACTACTTCCATTATCAACCTGGTCCAAGCCATCGCCAGCTCTGCTCTGCTAGATGACTCTAATGGCCGTCATAATGACACACAGGCACCATGTAATCTTCCCCCACCCCAACTACTTTTCTCTTCTTATCTCCTGTGTGTCTTCCCTTTGTTCACTCTGTTCCAGCCACACTATCATCTTTGCTTTCTTCAGACAAATCAAGACCAACCTTCCCCTTCTTGCCTTGCTCCCAAACCTTCCCATTTGCTGCTCCCTTTAGTACATTCTTCCCCCAGATACCCTTCTTTCTACCTTACCGCTTTCAAGTTTTCCATCAATTGTCACATTTTCAGTGTGGCCATGCTAACTGCCCCATGAAAAGTGTGACACTCTCATCCCCGGCACATCTTTTTCTTCTTTGTTTTAATCTTTAGCCCTCAGAACCTCTAATAGTACATTTGCTTATTTATATTGTTCAGGAAGGTGAAACTTTCTATCTTGTTTTATTCATGGACTTACCTTTATGATTCCCTCCAACCTGTTGTCCAGACTGAGGATGCTCTCTTACACATGAGAAACCCAACAGGCAGACCTGTGAGCTAGAAAAACCTGGATCTCTGGGGCATTTGCAAAGCACAGTTTTCCATTATCAGCCCATTCTTCCAGAATTTTACATGGTGGAGGATGTAAACTTCTTTCCTGTTTAACCCACTGTTATTTTGGGTTTATTTTGTTACTTCTGATAGAACTCTATGCTTATAATTATCACCTTATCCTTCAAACTTTTCTATTAATGTAGTTTAGTCACTATTTAGCTAAGGACTGTAACTTGTAACCTTACAGCATATGGGGCAATAGCTCATTCCTTATATCATAGTAAGTCCTTACTTAGGCGATAAGAGAAAAGACCAAGATTTGAATGTTCTTCTCCCAGGAAGAGACAAGAGATAAAGAGAAGAAAATCTATTTCTGTGGCTCCCTGGGCCACACTGTAGACCTGAATTCCGAAGACCCAGATTTTAATCTTGATTCTTATGAGGATCAGTTTTCTCTTTTAAAAATGGGGCCATTCAGGCAGCCGGTTAGCTCAGTTGGTTAGAGCACAGTGCTCATAACACCAAGGTTGCTGGTTCAATTCCCATATGGGCCACTGAGATGCGCCCTCCATACTAGATTGAAACAACTACTTGACTTGGAGCTAATGGGTCCTGGAAAAACACACTGTTTACCAATCAATCAATCAATCAATCAATCAATGTGTGTGTGTGGGGGGGGTGTTATGGGCCGGCCGACTGGCTCAGTTGGTTAAGAGCTCGCTCAAGAGTGTGAGCTCTGAGCAACAGCGGTTCAATGCCCAGCCTGAGCTGAGCTGCCAACAGGTGGCAGGACGGTTCAACTAATAAATAAATAAATAAATAAATAAATAAATGGGGCCATCCATCCTCCCTCTTTCGGTTTTCCCGTGAGACCAAATGAAATAATCCATGTGGAAATATTTTCTTAATTATAAAGCTCCATACAGATGTAATGTTATTATTACAAAATATATCAAATAAGAGTAAAGCTTATCTCAAGTAAAATAGAATAGCAGGACTTGAACCCTGGAGAAGGCGGAAAAATTAGGTTCAGTAAAAGTCAAATAGAGTGTTTTATTTACATTCTAAATTTATCTTTCTTTTCCCCTCATAGCCATATGATAGAGTGTAGTAGTAAAAACTGAATTCTAATATTTCAGAAACAACCTAAAGCAACACATTTGGGAGAAAAAGAAGAGTGCAAGAGTAACAATTTCCTAATTCAAAATCAAACAAAAATCATTCTTCAATCAACTGGGCTACAAAATTAGGGGCCATAAAGATTTTTTTAATACTTTATTTGTTTTCTATTCATATTCTAATTTTGCTCTTGTATTTTTCTCTTAATGTTGGGAAACACCAGGTATGTGGCGATTCCACGGAAAATGTTGCTCTGATTTTTCTCTTGAAGGTGACAGGAGGGGGAAAAGAGAAAAGGATCCAGATGAACAGACAGAGAAGGAGAGGGCAAAAACCAAAAAAACAACAACGAAAAAACCACACAGAGAACAACAGCAAAAGAAATCAGGACACTATCAAACAAGATTTCACAGGGTCTTTTACTCCCCCCAAATAAAATGGTAATAATCACCTTGTCTCTGATATAAAATTATGATGTCCAGAGGCAGCCAACATTTATTTGACAATATTCTAATGGGAAGCCTAGCATGTCTTGAAAACTCCATTTTCTTGATCTCAACATAGGGCCAAGTCAGACCCTCGGAATCCTTTTGTCCACAGATGGCTCTCTATCTGCTGATATGGACATCTAGGAAGTCAGCACTATCAGTGAGGGCACTTGGAAGGGAAAGTACAAAGGTGGCTAGATTATCAAGAACTTGTAAACTGACTTTAGCCACATGGGTCTTAAATTGATTCTACAATAGAAGCAAATCCTGTCTCTGCTTGCTTGTGGGGTTCAGCTTCTTCTCAGCATTTCTAAAACCTCATGTCATGACTGCACATCAGTTTTGCTCTTAATGACCATTTCCCACCATTGCCTTTCTTCAAGGGGAAATCATGTATTCTAAGTATACCTGTACAAACCCATAACAATGTGTGAAAAGATATTCTGAAAACTGGAAAACTACCCTTGCTTCAAGTTCTACCTTACAAAAATTCAAAAAGCTTCCTTTAACCAAACTTTCTTTCTTGGTAAATTTCCTGAACAGAAGAAAATAATTCAGTAACATTTCACTTGGTGGAGGGGAGAGCTGAGCTGGTATTTATTTCATAATTACACATTTAGCTTAACTGTGGGAGTACGCATTCTCCATGTTGACATAATCATGATACTCCTGTCACTTATCTGATAATCTGTGCACAAGAAAAAAATGGACCACAGCTGTACTCCCAGACCCTCCCTGCAATGGAAATTCTTGATGGTCAAGGTTAATGATGTGCCCTGATGAGAATCATATTTACCATTTTTCCTCTTTGGAATTTGCAATGGTGGCTACACTACACAACACAAAGGAAGGGCCTTCCTCCTCCTGTGCCCAGCACAGATATCAAGATATCAATAATTGATTATAGTTTTTGGTTTGCTCGCTTTGCTGTTTGCAGAACTCCTATGCAGCCAGATACTTCATTCCTTAGAGCTCCAGGTAGTTATTCCCAATTAACTGAAGATGACAATGGAATTACCTCGTGACTCACCGCTTTAGATCTTGCAAGTACACTAAAGTACTTGATCTCAACATAGGGCCAAGTCAGACCCTCAGAATCCTTCTGTCCACAGATGGTTCTCTAACTGTTGATATGGACATCTTGGAGTCGGCACAATCAGTGAGGGTGCTTGGAAGTGAAAGTAGAAATAAACTAATAGAGAAGTAGCATTTTAAGTGAAAAATAACCAACTCAGGATTCAACACATTCCCACCCAACCAAACAAAGAGAAATTTTGATATTCTTGACTAGATTGGTGAAAAAAGCAAGAGATTTTTCTGACTTCTATTCCACATTAAAATCTTCAAAATGTCATTCAGAATGAACTTAGAAGCCATCCTGGAAATTTTTATGATGATTTGTTTTAAGTCATCCTAATTTTCACCCAAACTAGTTTTCCAAGTAATTCATATAACTCAAATGTAAAAGTCTCAATCACATACTAGTAGCTGAATGGAATTATCCAGAGGAAAACTGAATTACACCCAAATCATATGTGACATAAATTGATTCATCCAGGCGCAAGGAACTGGAAATCAGGGAACTAACTTTCTAAACCTAGATAAAGTAGTTCTCTTCTTTGTGTTTTAGTTGAGAAAATTAAGATTTAGACAGACTTTACTAAGGACTTTCGATCCACTGCTTCCTGCAACCTTACCAATGGCGGGGTGGGAGGTGGCAGGGGAGAGTAGGGCGGGAGAGAGATATCTAGTTGCTCTTTATTTATAGGCAACAAGGAGTAGTCAACATTCTAAGACTTGCCAAGGTCATAGCCAGAAGACGTAGAGCCTGAAGCAGCAGCTTCTGGCATCCTGGACCTTTCTTCCTCTATCCTGACATTCTCATTCCATTACCCCCAACAGAGTGGTTAGGCCACAACTACAAAAAAAATTGCTCAGAAGACACAGATGAAAGCAGGTTCTTCTCTTTATTTCATAACTTCTTATGAAGCTTTAGCTGTTCAGTGACCCCACAAGGATAGAATTTCCTTCACAATCTTGCCCCACACAGGATTTCCAGAGTGAGTTCTCTCAGGAAAGGAGAATAGAGTTGTGAAGAAGAAAGAAATGGCTTGTGACTTCTAAGATGTTTTTCCTTTAACAAATAATTTTTAGTATCTTCCTTTTCTCATTCCTTGGTAACTAGTACTTTTTACTTAGTATATACAGGTGCTGGGCTATATTCTTCACATGCATGTTTTCTGTTATTTCTCTCAACAAACCTACAAAGGAGTTTCTATTATTATTCTGATTTTATAAACAGCAACTTAAAGAAGTGACATGAAAATCATAATAAAAACTAATACTTAATAAGTGCTAGGCATTGATCAGGGTACTTTACATATATTATCTTGTTTAAATCCTACAATGGTTTTAGGCAGTAGATAGCAATTTTGCAGAATTTGAAAAATGAGGCTTAAAGAGGTTAAGTAACATGCTACCATTCTGCCCAGCACCAGGAACCAGGACCTGTGCACTTAACCACTCTGTTCTACTGCTTCTCATTACAACAAAATTGTATACCTTTGCAATTGCTTCACTACCCCTGGGGCTTTTTTCTTACAGTATGTAAACCCTTAACAACTTCCTCTACGGGTCCAGACAGCAATT